GAGGTTGTTATCAGGAAATCTTGCTATAAATATTCAAAGAATTATCCATGTGTGTCGACTACCATTTAGAAACACTAGTTCACCAATACATTGTTCTTCCATTAAAATCATTCTGTTTTGAACTTTGAGCACACAAAAAATGACTGCAGCAGACGTCTGCCATTCACTGCTTATTGCTGATGATTGGCAGTGCAACAGATTAGTTTATGACATCATGTACTTTGTTGTTTCAATTTTTTTTTTCTGCATACAAAGTGTAGTAAGACTTTACAGACACCCTTTAATTCCATGTATGTGTAAGACCCCTCTTTACATGCAGCTGCAGATGTGTGGACTGGAGGTCATTCAGCATTTTCAAATAGACACATAGCGAGATAGATAGGCCAGTCTATTTAATGGGCCCAGAATGGCACCAGTATAAATAAATGTAATTTACGTAAATCAGTCAATCGAACCACATCCATACCACACACCATGCCATCAGCAATGCCAAACTTATCCACACACCATGTGATCAGCAATGCCAGACATATCTACACACCATGTGATCAGCAATGCCAGACTTATCCACACACCATGTTATCAGCAATGCCAAACTTATCCACACACCATGTGATCAACAATGCCAGACTTATCCACACACCATGTGATCAACAATGCCAGACTTATCCACACACCATGTGATCAGCAATGCCAGACATATCTACACACCATGTGATCAGCAATGCCAGACTTATCCACACACCATGTTATCAGCAATGCCAAACTTATCCACACACCATGTGATCAACAATGCAGACTTATCCACACACCATGTGATTAACAATGCCAGACTTATCCACACACCATGTGATCAGCAGTGCCAGTCTTATCCACACACCATGTGATCAACAATGCCAGACTTATCCACACACCATGTGATCAGCAGTGCCAGTCTTATCCACACACCATGTGATCAACAATGCCAGACTTATCCACACACCATGTGATCAGCAATGCCAGACTTATCCATACACCATGTGATTAGCAGTGCCAGACTTATCCACACACCATGTGATCAACAATGCCAGACTTATCCACACACCATGTGATCAGCAATGCCAGACTTATCCACACACCTTGTGCTCAGCAGTGCCAGACTTACCACACATCATTCGATCAGCAATGACAGACTTATTACACATTTTATCAGCAATGCCAGACTCATCCACACACCATGTGATCAGCAGTGCCAGACTTATCCACACACCTTGTGATCAGCAATGACAGACTTATTACACATCATTTGATCAGCAATGCCAGACTTATCCACACACCATGTGATCAGCAGTGCCAGACTTACTACACATCATTTGATCAGCAATGACAGACTTACCACACATTTAATCAACAATGCCAGACTTACCACACATCATTTTATCAGCAGTGACAAATATAACACACTCCCCCTCCCAAAAACAAAGACAAAAACTTAAATCACATCACACTTTGTGATATTTTTTAATGTAAGCATGTGAAAATACAATTAAAAGCGGCATTTTTTTTCAATGAGTGATTTGATAGATAGGTTTACATGTACTTTAACAATATAAACATAACATTGAAGTGCTGAATGGACAGGGTGGGATAAGCTGGCCTTCTAATTTAATACTGTCTTGTCTGTCGCTAATTTGAGAAGTGTTGAGTATCAGAGGCTAGGCGAGTGGTCGCGGGTTCACTTCTCCTACCAGGCAGGGGTTTGTTTCAATCAGGTCTGGGCTCTCAACCTGGCCTGGTAAAAAGGTCACTTTAGTTTTACTAGGCTGTCAAGTTGACCCTGGTAAAATGAGTGCCAGAATGTGTAGCGGAAGGGGCGAGGGAAGTGTGGGCGTTATAACAGAAAATTAGGGGGGGGGGGGGGGTAAAAAATTTGCTATAATACGTATTTTATATGTATAAATATATATATAAAGAGGAGAGGTGTCACAGCAATTTTTCCGCACCGGTACAACGTAACCTTGCTGACATTTGATCTTTGCACCCTATACTCTCAAAGCATGAATATGATCTCAGCAATGAATCTGGTTCTTTAATAATATCCTACCCCAGATGACAACACAGGACAGTCCAACATTTTAGAGGGTGGTAAGACTGGGTTTCCTGGCTTTCTGATGCTTCTAACAACCCCAAAACATCTAGAACTGGCCCTAACCCCAACCTACCTACGTTCCACGGGAGAGTGCAGCCTAGGTCCCACCACTGCATGCAGCTTATCTATCACCCCCTGAAATATTAGACTGTCCCATGACCCTTGGATTTTCCCTGCTTGGGTTAGGATATTAATAAAGCACACAGAATCTTAGCGATCAAGACGTTGAAAATACAAAAGCTGTGTCGAAATTTACAGATATTCTATGCACTAGAACAAATCACAGTTAACGGTAAAGAAATCAAACTGAATACCTTGGCTAAGTCATGAACAAGATTGGAGAATATGTAGTACAAGCTCTACAGTCTGGGCTCTCGAAGCATGACTGTGAATTTGACCTCTTCCATATCTGCACACTCTCTCCTCGTGACAGTTGGAGAACATCTTCAGACATGGAATGAAAGTTACATGCATTCGAAAACAAATGTCTGAGAAAAATTATGAGAATAAAATCGGAGGAATTTAAAAATATTGAAGAAATAGGAGAAATGTCTGGACAACCACTAGTATCTACAGTTAAGGACAGAAAAGATGGCGCTTCACTGTACACATCCTGAAAATAAACCAGCAGAGAATCAACAAACAGGCATTGCAATGGGAAAGAAAGGGATTAAGGAGGTGAGGACGTCCAAAATAAACTCTGTAAGATTAACGTTGACGAGAGAGACCAAAGTTACTGGACTGAATTCCATCCATGATATTTAACTGATCGCACTGGATATAACAGAATGTAGGAATAGACTGTGAGCCCTATGTGACATATAATGGCAAATATGATAATGACTGAAATCTGCACTAGGATACACAAATAAAACAACTTGTCAGAGGAATCAACAGGTTATATATTTGTCCACGTTTAACTAGATATATTTGTTATATGTGGAAATATACATACACATAAATGTTCTCACACAACAATGTATACAATATCAAGTTTGCTTATCAACCCTGTCGGTTCTGTGGCTAAGTCGATGCGAACGCTTCCTAATGCCGAGTTCGATACCAGCTGCGGGTCATGCGCCTTGCGTTGGTTTCGACAGTGGTTTCACGAAAGCTGACCGTCCAGAAAGCAATGGCAATTTACTGGACCTAAATTTGCCTAGAAAAACCACACAACAGCCAGGGGCTGTTGGGGTTGGTTTTGCAACGTCCTGTAAAGGATACACAACTAACCTTTATCAACTCTGTCAGTACATTAGACGACAAGGGATTGCGATGTTTTGATAACTGATCTTTGCATCCAACTTGGCACACGAAGAAGGCCGCATCCCTATCGAAAGGTGTGGAGTTGTACACAAATTCAAGCGGTAATAGAGAGATAGTCGCACGGCTTTCTTGTCTGGCGGTATGAAGCTGTGCTTATTACCTATGTCTTTTTATTTTTTAAGGCATAATTTGTTTTGCACTACTGTAATAGACACTTCACTGCGGGCTGCGTGGATTTTTATCGTGGCATGGGACGTCGCAGGTCGACCCAGCCTCAAATGGGTACCAGGATGGCTGTCCTGGGGAAGTAAAGACGGCCGGCGTAATGCTGACCACATTACCCACCGAGTGCCGATTGGTCTGTAAAAATATGGGATGCTCTGCCCATATACCCGATGCGCCTTAGGCGTAATAAGGGATCTTTACTTTTTTTTTTACTAATAGACACTTTATGGTGACTATTGGCACCCTGTTAGAGACTTTGTGGGCAATACTGGCAAAGAAAAGCCTAGGATATAAAAGGTTCTTTCATATGACCAGACCAAGGATATTCAGCTGGCTCGCGGAGGTCTAGCAAGTGGCCCGCTGATCATTGCCAGTTTCACTGTATTAATGATCTTTTAATGCTGTGCTCGTGCCTATGGTCCGTGACGATCCTCAGTTTCCAAGTGTTGGCCTCTAGGTAATCTTAGTTGAGCCCTGCATTACATGTGGAAGAAAGAGAACTGTACACTGTAGTGTACTGCACACAGTGGCGAAGGATATGAAGACAGTGCGAGTTGGTTGAAAACTCAAGACTCCATTAGGGAATAACGGACAGAAACATCACATATGGACCTGGATTGAACTCAGTTACTGTTGTTTGTCACCCGATATCAAAGAAACATCTATTGTCAATTTGTTAGAATATCACGGTGCAGACAAATACAGTGACGTCATAATGGCAGTTGAGAAATGGCCGTCCCACTTTTGACATGCACCAAAGAGCATATTATCATTTTTTTTTTTTAGTTAAGAAGTTACAAATATATAAATTCATCTGCGAATGAAGGTTCATTATAGCAGTGCGTGTCTACCAATCCAGCAAGCGTATTAGTGGAGTCGGATATTTTACAACAGCGTGACTTGCGTGGCAGACTCTTAACTATAGGGTCGAGCACACACAACAGCCATTTTGAAACAATAAAACATGGCTTCTCTTTGGTGCATGTCAAAAACAGAATAGCCGTTTTCAAACTGCCACTATGACGTCAATATGTTGGTCTGCACCGAGATGTCACGTGCTTAACGCTCTTGATTTCCTTGAAATATTAGTGACAACGATAACTGCCTGTGCCAGGGGGGGGGGGGGCACCATATGCTCCCCAACCATGTAAAGTCGTCCTCTTTTTAAGTATTTGTTTTTACATTTCATATTATTTCAACTCTTTCTATTTACCATTCAACTTTCAACAATATACATTTTTACTCTTACTGTGCATTTAAACAAGGTGTACGCCTCCTAATGCCGCCATCTCTAGAAAATTATGAGGGATCTGAGCTCCACACCTCAATGTTTTCTTTGTGTTGGTTGGCTGTGGTGCTAGATACATTTAGAAGAGGGCAGTTATAACCAGACCGAAGCATCTTCCTGACCCAGGTAGGGCTGAGATAGAGCTCGATGCCCCACGCCAACTGGTCGACCTTGTGGTTCAACACTCTCGTATTGCCGCCGACCCAAATCTGGCTCATAATGGCTGTCCAGAAGGTACTCTTCCGGAAGATAATGATAGCTGTACGATCTTTGTCGGCGGTTGTGGGTTTGTTGAGGGACTTCTCTGTGGCCCCTCTGATAGCGCTTTGGTTCACCGTCGTGGTTGAAATGGACCTCTAATGGTTGGTGATGGATGTATTGGCTACTAGATCTGTCTCTTGGTCTGAAGACGCGTCCATGTTTTATTATGTCTCTGTCCATCAATGACACTGGCGTATTACTGTCCGTTTGTTGACCGTCGCCTCTTGGCTTCACGTAATAGCGGCTAGATCGGTCTTCGTGCTCCTGCCAAGGTCCTGGAGGCTCCCAGCGACTGGGGAACGGATTTGCGGAGGAGATAATATATGGACCTTCCCGAAATCTCGGATCTGCATGGAGCAATCTCTCACGTTCTAGCTGCTCGCCCCTCGCGAAGTCATCGTAATTGGATGGTATCCTGCCTGTCGAGTGGAAGTAGCGCTGTTGACTGGAACTCTCCCTCGCCCTTTGACCCCCTGGTCTTTCATCATTTCTGTCCCTAATGTTTTCAGCTTCATCATCAGCAGCGCTCTGTTTATGAGGTCTCTCGTTTCTGTCTCTTCTTCGCTGTTTCTCTGCGTCTTCATCGGCCCATTCCCGCCTCTTCAACTTCTCATAATACCTGCCCTCACTACTCTCTCGCTCTTCTCCTGCCGTGTTGTCGTCTGGAAGGATTCGCTCCTTATCTGTGTCTTTTGTACCGGTACTTCTGCCTCTTTGCTGACTTTTCTGAGCTCCCCCAGGCCAAGGGACGTAGCCGTTACGTCTGTCTGTGTATTCGGTTTTCTTATGATTACCTACCTTCTTCTCGTCTACCAATCTGGAATTGGACAACCTAACAAAATCAACTTTCTTAGCTCTTTGGATTTTTTCGTCTTCTATTTCTGAAGCCGCCCTTTTGACTTCTGCCTTTTGTCTTCTCCAGTTTCTGATTAATCGGTACAAGCCCGCACCAGCCAACCCTAATGCTGTGAGGAGAACAAAGGTGGAACAGAAAGCAATAATATACAATATAGATTTGTCGCACTCGAACTCTTCTGTGCTCCACTGGGTCACATGAAAACCAGCCCGTTCGTGAGGCGTGTGGCAATGATATGCGCTAGAATTCATGTCGTATAATCCAAGAATCGGCAACTTTGTCTGTTTAAGCCAGTCTCTGAAATCTAGTCCTTCACAAGAGCAGTCAAAAGGATTGTCCGACAAATCTAGCTGCTCTATTACTTTCAGTTCTTTGAATGTGTCTGGAATAATATTTCGAAGGCGGTTGTTACGAAGCGACACCGTTTTAACTTCATAAAGTGGCAGAAAAAATGATTCGTTTAAACTGGAGATATGATTATATCCCAAGTCTAAAGTAGTTAAAAGCTCAAGGTTGCGAAATAACGTAAACCCGTCTATATTGTCCAGCCAGTTGTGCGACAGATTCAGGTGTCTAAGACCATTGCCATGGTCGAGGAGGTCCACGTGAAGACTGGACAACCTGTTTTGAGATAAGTCCAGTTCTGCTAGCCCGGTCATTCCATAGAAAGCGTGACTGTTTATGTCTGTGAGGTTATTGTGCCTGATGTACAGCCTCTGAGTGGCCAGCAAGTTTGAGTACTGGAGCTCCCTCAGAAAGTTGTAAGACAGGTCAATCACTATCGAAGATTGAGGCAGAAACGCTCCCTGGTCAAGAGTTGTGATGTGGTTGCTGCTAAAATTGACAAGTTTCAGATACCTAGCTCCTTTAAACAACAAACCAGGCAAGGTGTGGAGCTGGTTGTTGCTGAAATCAACTATCTCCAGCATCGTCGCGTCTTCAAGTCCACGAAATTCACTTATTCTGTTATAGCTGTAATCTAAATGTTGCAGGTTTGAGGTACCGGTGGGCAAGTTAGCTGCGTTCAAATAATTGTTTCTAGCGTTGAGGTGCTTGAGATGCTCCAGTGAAGAGAAGTCCACACGACTGGAATCCCTCAGCCGGTTACTAGAAACATCCACAGTCTGTAGATTTGATAAGTGGGTCACGGGTTGGCCCTGAAAACTCTCTAATCTATTGCTAGAAATGTTGAGCGCTTCCAGGTGAACTAGATCAGAGAATCCATCGGTGATCGCGGAGATAAGGTTTCCACTCAAATCCAAAACCCGAATGTTCTTGGCATTGGCAAATAAACCTGCAGGCAAATCGGTGATATAATTAAAGCTCAAATTTAAGAACTTCAATGGAAGCTCAGTGGTGTCACTGAATAATGCATCAATTGTCGTCAAATTCATGAAGGCGATAGATAGTCTTTCCAATCCCTTGCTTTCCAGGCTTTTGACTAAAGCTCCAATGCTGGCCAAAGACAGACCACTGTTGCCAGATAAGTCAACATGGTTTAGGTTTGGGATGCTGGCCAGCGCTCCATCCTCTATGGAAGACAGTCGGCAGTAGGCCAGGGATATTGCCCTGGAAACGATCTCCCAGCCGGATGTTGTTTCCAAGGAAGTGCTCGGGATAGTCTCAATGGGATTGTGGGATACGTCAATGCTTTGAATCCTTTTCGGTACCTGAAGACAAGGCAAAAATATAGCAGAAATATACTTTATCTATCTATCTATCTATCTATCTATCTATCTATCTATCTATCTATCTATCTATCTATCTATCTATCTATCTATCTATCTATCTATCTATCTATCTATCTATCTATCTATCTATCTATCTATCTATCTATCTATCTATCTATCTATCTATCTATCTATCTATCTATCTATCTATCTATCTATCTATCTATCTATCTATCTATCTATCTATCTATCTATCTATCTATCTATCTATCTATCTATCTATCTATCTATCTATCTATCTATCTATCTATCTATCTATCTATCTATCTATCTATCTATCTATCTATCTATCTATCTATCTATCTATCTATCTATCTATCTATCTATCTATCTATCTATCTATCTATCTATCTATCTATCTATCTATCTATCTATCTATCTATCTATCTATCTATCTATCTATCTATCTATCTATCTATCTATCTATCTATCTATCTATCTATCTATCTATCTATCTATCTATCTATCTATCTATCTATCTATCTATCTATCTATCTATCTATCTATCTATCTATCTGTTCTATCTATCTATCTATCTATCTATCTGTTCTCTATCTATCTATCTATCGGTTCTATCTATCTATCTATCTATCTATCTATCTATCTATCTGGTTCTATCTATCTATCTGTTCTATCTATCTGTTCTATCTATCTATCTATCTGTTCTATCTATCTATCTATCTATCTATCTATCTATCTATCTATCTATCTATCTATCTATCTATCTATCTATCTATCTATCTATCTATCTATCTATCTATCTATCTATCTATCTATCTATTCTATCTATCTATCTATCTATCTATCTATCTATCTATCTATCTATCTATCTATCTATCTATCTATCTATCTATCTATCTATCTATCTATCTATCTATCTATCTATCTATCTATCTATCTATCTATCTATCTATCTATCTATCTATCTATCTATCTATCTATCTATCTATCTATCTATCTATCTATCTATCTATCTATCTATCTATCTATCTATCTATCTATCTATCTATCTATCTATCTATCTATCTATCTATCTATCTATCTATCTATCTATCTATCTATCTATCTATCTATCTATCTATCTATCTATCTATCTATCTATCTATCTATCTATCTATCTATCTATCTATCTATCTATCTATCTATCTATCTATCTATCTATCTATCTATCTATCTATCTATCTATCTATCTATCTATCTATCTATCTATCTATCTATCTATCTATCTATCTATCTATCTATCTATCTATCTATCTATCTATCTATCTATCTATCTATCTATCTATCTATCTATCTATCTATCTATCATCCTTCTTCCCCTTCACTCACTGTAGACGAACCTTTCATTGTGCCCTTCTTTAATATCCTCCTCCCCCTTCACTCAAGTCTCTGACCACTATCTATCACTCAACAGTTCATTGACCAGACTGCAGTGACCGCTGTTGCTGGCGTCAGACGCCAATAAACATGGCACATTTTTGAGAAGCTCCAGCGCACTTTAGTTATTATTTCATTTTTTTAGCTTTTATTGTATTGTTTCGGCAGCTGTATGTGAATGGTTACAGTAAAAGTAGTAGTAAATTTTACCCCACCAGGACATCACACAAGCGATAAACACCCGAAGTCACATGGTGCCACCATGCGGATGAGGATCACCCGTGGAGCGGTCCCGGAAACCGCGTTTAACCATTCAACCATATTTATGGCCGGGGTATATTGCGCCCCCTGGCAAGAGCCAGGGTGGTGCTTTAAAATAACGAAAAACTGCATCCCATAATGGGATGACAAGTAATAAAATAATGGTTACAGTATGTTTGCTTTTCTTTTGTATTCGTATTGTCCGTTCGACAGACTTTGGTCAACATGTCTATTAGTGTATACGTATCTTTCTTTTGCCTAGCTGCTCAGCCATATTGCACTTTCATTCATTTTTTTTTAAATTTGTAACAGATAAGCTGTGCATATTCTTAGTTCTTCACAGTCAACATCCTAATCATCATAATCAAAATTATCATCATCATCATCTTACCTGAAACCCAGCCCCTAGCTTGAGCTGACTAATCAAATTATTGGACACGTCTAGAAACTTCAAGTCCGGTGTGTTCCGGAAAGTAAGATCGGGTATCTCCGTCAGCCGATTGAAGCTGACATCTAAAAACTCCAGCTTGTTGGAGTCTGCAAAGAGACTGTCTGGCAGTGCTGTCAGACGGTTGTTGCGGAGACGAACAGTGATCAGCTGCAACATTCCACTGAAGGTACACCCTAACAAACGGGTCAGGCCGTTCGAGGACAGGTCAATGGATGTCAGGTTCCTCATTTGGACAAAACTTGTATTGATGATTGGACCCAGTGAGTTGTTGGAGAGGTCTAAGGTTACAGTTGACGCGGAGGTCACGGGCAAGGCTGCCAACTTGAGATTTGAACAGACCACCGTCAGATTGTGGGCGCCAGAGCATGTACACGGGCGGGGACAGTCACTGGCTATGATTTTAAATATGCACAAGTAAAACCACAACATTATTTGGAATCTCGCCATTTTAAAATATAGCTTGCCTGAAACAAGGGCAAACGATGTCTCGGATACGCCAAAGACGTTTATCTTTATAAGAAATCGCACAACACGCTAGGGCTCTGATAGTGTCAAAGATTAATTTAGGTATTCGCCAACCCACACATTGTTAAGTTCTGTTGCCATTCCTCATAAATAAAGTGAATCAGGCTAGCAAATGTAATAGATTTTTCTATATAGTTACACTGCTACAGTCAGATTCGGAACTAGGGTTCTTTGCTGGCTGCTGAAGATGGGGACGGAGCGCTTATGGAAATGCTATGACGTTGGCTCTGAGCTCAACACTCAGTTCACATATTTTACTGCTCCCAAAGTCACCGGTATCTGAAAATACAAAAGCAAAAGTTATTATACTCTATTGCGAACACACCGCTTTTCTCCTGTCTTCATTATTTGGTTGCTTTATTTCCTGTCTGCTGTGCTTCTTTAGTGTATCCATTTATTTATTCATGCTGTTTCACTTGTCTTTAGTAAATACAAGGAATTCTTTTTTTTTGTTTTTGTTCTTGTCTTTTTATTGTCCATTGTCTTCCCTGTTTTTGTCAAGTGTAATTAACTGCAAACGGTGTATATGTCCCCTCCCTTCTCCCCTACCCACTCACTCCCTCACGCATGTATCTGTGTGTGTGTTTCTCTACGTCTATTTCTGTGTGCTAATAATGGCTTGTTAAATATAGGAGCGCCCACCTGCTCTTTGACTTCCCAAAGAACGAATCCTACCCCAGATATACCCACATTGGCGATCTTCTCCTGCCTGTATTTAAAAAAGGGCCGAGGTAGAGGGGACTGGACACTCAACATGAGCTCCAACCACAAGTGAAGAGCTTTGGGCTACCAGACATCGACACACAAGAGGGTTCGATAAAGAGGATGCCTCAGTTGCAAGACGCAAGTGTCGGTTACAAGACACAGGATGTTGGTAACAAGACATTTTTTGTCACAAGACCAGACGTTTTGGTTACAAGACAAAAGACTTCTACTGCAAGACAGAAGTCATCTAGCCGAATCCAACTCTTCACAAGATGCGTTGACTGCAGAAGTTTTCTATCCCAACGCAATTCAGCACAAAGGTCGTTCATAAGAAGGCAAGTAGATTTAACTGAATGAAGCACCGCAACTACACGTGAGCTACCATCAGTTCATTCTCTGTTGATTGGACAATTTTTTGAGAGGACTACAAATGTCTTCCATGAATAAGACCGTTATTCTGTCTTTCGTTGTTGGTTTTTTTTTTAGTCACTATTGACTGAAATACATCTAAACTCGTAAAATGCATTACTATTTAAAAAAAAGAAAAAAAAAGAGAGAGAGAGAGAGGCTTCACTGTGCTGTTCTGGTGGAGGGGATATCGCAGCCTAGCTTTTAACCACAACACAGAGTACCAAACACCCTTTTAAGGGCGAATGAAAAAGACGAAAAAGAAGAATACGAAGGAGGCAAAGAAAAATAAAAGAGAAAATCTCGAATTCAGCAATAATCTTTAAGCAATTTTTTTCAAGAATATTCAATGTTATCTCTTCACGAAATGTTGACTAATCTTGAACCCCGGTCAATATAAAGCATTCATACTTTGATAGGGTCTGCTCTGTGGCTAAGTCGACGCGAACGCTTCGTAATGCCGGGATGCCGGGTTCGATACCAGCTGCGGTACATGCGCCTTGCGTTGGTTTCGACAGTGGTATCAAGAGAGCCGACCGTCCAGTAGGCAATGACAAACTACTGGACGTAAATGCCCAGAAAAACCACACAACAGCAAGGGGCTGTTGGGGTTGTTTCTGTGGGTAAAGGATCCGCAACTAACCTAACTTTGATAGGGATTCGAACACATAAACACTAAGCAGGTTGGCAAGCCTACTAGCCAGTGCGCTTTCACGACTCCCACCATCGGATAGGAATGTGTGCTGCATTCGATTTCTAGGGGCACAATTTTTATGTCATTTAAAAAGAATTATTTCAGAAACTTTCTATTAAGACAACATCAAGAGATGGGCGAATAACAGTAAAAGATTGTGTACAAATAAGGCAAAAGCGTTAGAGATTGATTATAGCCAAATTTCAGTGCGGATATAGTAGCACCTAGCTTTTGTTTAACTTGAAGTAAAATTAACCATACTGTTTCAGATTTATAGAGCACAAGCACACTTGAAAACAGAAAACACAAAAGACTGCACAGTTTATTGCCTGCCATGTTTCGATGGATCTCGTCAGGTGCATACTACAGTAACACTTGATTAAAATGAGGCAAGAAGGGAAACTTTTACAGTTAAAGTATAAACTGAATCACTCTCAAAAGTAGATGATTGCAACTTTCGATATTCACGAAATGTGTTATGCAGTAAATCAGACAAGGAAGGAGGAAGGACTTTCTACCACACCAGAACATCACACAAGCGATAAACATCCGATGACACAAAATGCCACCATGTCGATCACCGCGGAGAGGTCCCAGAAACCGCGTTCAGCCACTTAGCCATATTTATGGCCAGGCTATATTGCAGCCCCTTGCAAGAGCCAGGGTGGGGCTTCAAATAACGAAAAATTGCATCCTAAAAAGGACGGAAGTTTTTTTAAATTAGAAAAATAGTAAATTGGGCAATCTATTGTTTATGTCTTCTTTGAACACAGTTAAAACCAGGAAACCTAACATACGTTAACTGCCACATTATAAAAAGAAAGAAACGGAAACATGTTGTGACCGTTAGAATTATATGTGGCAAGAGAGACATAGAAAGACAACATGAAAACATTCTTAAGAGCCGTTTGTCTTGGCGTGAAAAAATGGTGATGGGAGTGTGGGTGGAGTGGGAATGTGGGTGGAGGTGGAGTGTGGGTGGAGGGGAGTGTGGGTGGAGTGGGAGTGTGGGTGGAGTGGGAGTGTGGGTGGAGTGGGAGTGTCGGTGGAGTGGGAGTGTGGGTGGAGTGGGAGTGTGGGTGGAGTGGGAGTGGAGTGGGAGTGTGGGTGGAGTGGGAGTGTCAGCACATGAACTAATACAATTTGCTAGAGACTGCAGGTTGTGGAGAGATACGATTGAACAAACTAGTCACCATAGCACTTAGTGTCGACGACGACGATGATGATGATGATGATGATGATGATACGTTAACATTATTAGGTCAGAGTAAAATTGAACTCAGCACAGCGGAGGCAAACTAAAATAAAACAAAGGAGGAAAATAAATGATTGATCACATACCAGTGAGACTATCCACTAGTTGGTGGGTCAATCACCAGCACCTACTCACTCAGACGAATACATATGTGGTCGAATCCCCCTCCCAGACGGCCCCAGGCAAGACAAGGATGTGACAGAATTTTCTAGAACTTGCGAAAGAGAGATCGGGTTTCACTGTTGGCGTCACTGCGTCCCGATATACGGAGGGGCGGTGACGGTGTTAAGTTGCGTTGTTTCATCTAGGGCTAGAAGATAAGACATGACTAACTCTTCAAGGATGGAGATATGGAGTTTAGAATCGGTTTCCCGGTAATTGGGACCAGTTATCCTCTCGCTTTGTTTCGTCTTTTCTGGGTTCCACTTGCTAGAGCCCCCCCCCCCCCCCCCTTCCAAACCCCACCCCAAAACAATTGCGCTACGAAAGATCAACACTAGGTTGTCATTACTTCTTCTTCTTCTTCATCTGCTTCTTCTGTTTCCTCCTTATTTACCAATGGAAGACGGGCCTCAAATCAACTTAAGCCATCTCGCCCTATGATTTGCTATTGCATGTAGTTCACCCATGTCTACCCCATCTTTCAGTTTGCCCGTCTAGCTCCGTTCTCTGCGTTTTTTTTTTTTTTTTTTTCAAGTTTTTACTTTTTTGATACGAAATTTGTCTTTCAACAGAAACATCCTTCTTCGCGCACTCGTTACCTGGATACGTCTACCCGGTTAAAACGGTATTACACAGGTTCGGATTTTGGGGACACATTATGGTGGTTGGGTGAGGGGGAGGGGCGAAAAGAAGGAGTGGGGGATATACAGTTTAAAACTTAGCGACGACTGGTAAATTAAATGGGAGAAACAGAGCAATGGAAGACAAAGAGATGCCTATCTCATAGCTTGGCCATATGAAAGGGGCAAGACAGGGGCAGAAGCCTCATCCATAATTCTGGGATACACTCAAGCCGACCGTCGAGGCCTAGGTCACGGGAAGGTCAATTGGTGGTCCAAAGCCACAGCCAAAGAACGCCGAGACATGGTGATACAACAGGTTAGGGACAACGAAAACGAGGTTCGGTAAAAGATATGGTGTCTCCAATTCATTTTGATTCCAAAGCTCCTCTGGCCACTGTTAGTCTACGAAGTGACGATGACAGCAGTGGAGACGATGGAGATGAAAATCAACACAGCCTTAAGAAAGTGGATTGGTGCACCTCCTTGTCTGACCGACGTGGCTCTGAATTGTAAGCAGGCTAAGCTGGTACTCCCGTTCAAATTGATAACCGAAGAGTTTAAAGTCGGCAAAGTAAGACTCGCCATGCTCTTGCGCGAGTCTTCAGACCCAAATGTCATCGCTGTCCAGCCCGCTCTAAAGACTCGATGCGATAGAATCTGCCCACAATGCACTAAAATTGAAGGAGATAATGGGATACACTCAAACCGACCGTCGAGGCCTAGGGCACGGGAAGGTCAATTGGTGGTCCAAAGCCACAGCCAAAGAACGCCGAGACATGGTAATACTACAGGTGAGGGACAACGAAAACGAGGTTCGGGTCCAGAAAGCAGCCCAGCAGTCGCAGCAGGGCCATTGGGTCTGCCTGGAGAGCGCATTGCCAAGAATACTCACATTGGGTGAGATCTGGCGAATGACCCCGCTGCGACTGAGCTTTATCGTTCGTTCGGCGTACGACGTATTACCGTCCGGTGTTAATATGGTTAAGTGGTCTGCGGCTAACGATCCGACTTGCCCGCTGTGCAAAGCGAAGCAGACGCTTGAGCACGTCCTGTCCGCATGCAGGAAAGCCCCAGG